TCATTGAACGTGGGATGGGCCAACTCATAGCTCAGGTTCTCCGCCGGCAGTAGCCGAATTCGTCAGTTCACTAGATTTCCCTCATCGTCACTACCAAAGTGAACTCTCCAGCACTACCTTAGCTAACTCACCCAATGCAGCCTACAGCAAGGAGCGGGGAAATTCTCCTAATCTCCGGCCTTTAGATCTAGGTCCCACTCGCTCATATAGCTAGGGCCAGCTCTAGTGTGCTGCCCAGGCAAAGTGCAGGGCCCTCTCTCCAGATTGTAGTTGGGGCATTGGAGTGATTCGCTCTCCTGCTCTCATGTCCTCAGAGCTAGCTCATGTGCAGCTCTGGCGAAAGGGTCAGTTCTAGTGTGCTGCCTCGGTGGGGTGCAGAGCTCTTTCTCCTGGGTGCTATAGCTGGTGCAGAACAGGGCTAGCTTTTTCACTCTCCTGCTACAAGTCACAAGGGACAGAGGGAGGATGGCATCTTTTCCTCACTCATGTCACCACATAGCAGACAATGAGGGGGCAGGGTCAGCTCTCCTACTCTCAAGCCCCTGGGGTTGTTGGCTCACCTGCATCCTCGACCTCAGGGTCAGCTCTAGTGTGTTTCCTAGGTGAGGTGCACACCTATGGTGAGGAGTGGGGTGATCTTTCTTAAGTGCTGGGTGACCTGTCCTCAGCCCACACAGGGCCAGTGAAGGGAGGGGCTGAGTCAGCCCAGCGTGGGTCCAATGACCAATTTTAATACCTTGTGAACCCTCAAAGCCCACCAACAGTGGCATATCTTTTACAAAAAAGCCACGCCTCTTAACGTTTCCCAAACATTTCTACCAACTGCTAACATTCAAATATGTCAGTTTATAGGGGCCATTCTGGTTCAAACCACCGCAGGGAGTGTCTGCCTCAAGTGTGTTTGGGGGCCTGCCTGTGGAAGGAAGTCAAGGGCATCTGATTTAGTGGAACTGTAGTTACAGACAGTTTTGAGCCTCCTGAATTGGTTCTGGGAACCCTACCATGTTCTCTGGAAAGCATGAAGTGTTCTTTTTTTCATTGAAAAAAAATTTCATATGATGTATTTTGGTCATGGTTTCCCTTCACCCAAGTACAAGATAATCCTCGCCTCTTTTCCAACCCAACTCTATGTCTTTCTTTTTCTTTAAAAAGCAAACAAACAAAAACTAACCATAATTTAAAAAGAAAAAAAAACACGAGAAACACAAAGCCATCTCTCCATTCCTGAAATTTTAATTATTTTTAGATTAGTTTTTATGTGTATGAGTGTTTTGCCTGCATGTATATATGTGTGCCTCATGCATGCAATTCTAGGAGAATCCAGAAGATGACACTAGATCCTATAGAACAAAAGAGTTACAGGCAGTTGTGAGCTATCAGATGTGGTTCTTAATATTAATAGGTTTTCTCTACCGGGATAATATGTTTCTCTGCCAAGGCAGTAAGCCAGATCAAGTTGGATTGAAAAAGTAGAAGAACAGTTTTATTTGAGCAAAGCTACTCAGGGAGAGGTTCTCCAGTCCCAGAGATCAATACTGGAGAAGCCACAAGTCCACACTAAAGCAAAGAGAGTGTATAGGTTGAAGGTGAGGGGTGGCGACATACCTGCCACAAGCTGCATTTGTGCCCCAGCATTGTCAATAGCTGAGAACTTTAGGTAGGGACTTAGCATGTGGGGGTGAGGTGGCATGGGCTAAGGGGAAATGGGGTGAGAAACATGAGAAGGGGAGAATGGGGGGATCTTGGGGGAATGGGATGGTTGGGATAAAGGAAGGGTGGACACGGGAGCAGAAAAATATATATCATAATTAAGGGAGCCATCTTAGGGTTGGCAAGAGACTTGACTCTAGAGAGGCTCACAGGTGTCCAGGGAGATGTCCCCAGCTAGTACCTTGAGCAACCGAGGAGAGGGAACCTGAAATGACCCTATCCTATAGCCATACTGATGAATATCTTGCATATCAACTTCAGGGGAGGAAGCTGCAGTAGCCACCAAGGATTTGGGACTGGGCTTTTTGGTGCATTTTCTTTGTTTGGCAATTCTCTGAGAGGGCAGAGTTTGGAGAGACAGGAATAGGGGTTTTCAGACCTTGTAGGAGATACAGGAGCGAGTTGGATGTTCCAACAAAACAGTTCTGGGGTTCAAACAACGGTCTTCTGGAAGAGCAGGAAGCGCTCTTATTGGCTGAACCACCTCTCCAGTCCCATTTGAGTTTGTAATGTATTTAAATATACATGTCTGAACTTCAAAAGATTATTGAGTGAGTGTGAAATGGTTATGAAGCTTCACTTCATAAACATCTATTTTCGGGTAAAATTCAGTTGAACCCAGAAAATTACATGTACTCAGGCAATCAGCAGAGCAATCAAGATGCTAATTGCATAACTTGGCATGCTATCATGAATACTTCTGCAATAAATACAGAAAGGCATTTCTATAGCAAGCTGCCTTTAATTTGTTTCCTCAGACCGCCTATACTTCTTTTCTCCCTTCCTTTGCTTCCATGAAACTAATAATGAGCTAATCTGCCATCATAGAAGCTTTGCTTTTCCTAGATTTTGAATAAATGAAATCAAGCAGTCCAGCTTTTTTCACTCATCATAATTGTTCTGTGATGTGTAAATTCATTCCAATATATCTTTTAAACAGCATATATGCAAGTCTCCCTACACATTATAAATATACATGAAATATCAACTGGGGATAAAGATTCTGAGGAAAGATATTTAGAATGTCTTTTGCATCATTCTTGGTGAAGAGTTGACGATACATTGCTGGTAATATGTGATATTATGCTATTATCACTTTCTGACATGCAACCTATTTTAATTTAAAAAGCGCCCAGGGGCAAAGGGATGGTTTCCTTAACTTGTTGTTTTCTAGCTAAGCAACTATAGACAAGTTCTTTCATGTCTCTTTTCTTTACCTTTTTTTCTTAAAAAAGGAAGAATATTGATGCTTTTTATGAACATTAAAATAAAATTTCATGTATAAATATTTGATCATGGGTTAAAACACATAGTAGATACTCAACAGGGAATGTGGTTTCTCACTTTTTTTTTAATTTGAGGAAAGTTTTCCTACTTAAAAAGAGTGTTGTGTCTTTGTTAATTGTAATATCAGAGTGCCATCTGGTGACCATATAGAATGATTACTTTATCTCCATTTCTAATTATACAATATTTAAAGCCATAATGTGCTCTAGGAATAGCATTATAAGGAATGAAAATAGAGTTGTATTTTAGAGCAATTTTGTTGAGTGGAATACCTTCCCTGGTGAGACATCCTTTCTAATCAAGAGGCATAACTTAAGGGAAACAAGAAGAACTTCCTCCCTAGTCTGGCCTAGGATGAGCAGATGGCAGGTTGAGTGCAAAAGCAAATAAGTTGAAGGCTCCACATCCCTTTGACTCTGAAGTAGATTCGGGAAGAAGTTGCTGTTTTCAAACCCTGTTGGAAGATCTTCCTTTGGAAAATCTAGCTTGAACAGCTTTGGTCTTGAGTCTAGCTCCAGGGAGGTTTTAAAAGTATGTAGCCCACATGGGAAGTAGAATAAGACAAAATTCCGTGAGTAAATTGGGAGCATGGGAATCAGGGTTTGGAGAGAGGGGAGGAAAGGAGGGGAGCGGAGAAAAATATATAGCTTAATAAAAACAATAAAAAGAATATGTTAAGTGCTTTTAAAAAGTATGTAGCCCCAGTTACTACCCTAAGAATAGAAGACCCTTTCCAGATCTACCAACCACCCACTGAAACAACTACACCGTCACAGTGCAGCTGATCTCAGGCCCTTGATTAAGACGTAGCAGGCTTCCTCATTATGAAGGGGTGATTTGAGTCAGAATGGAAATCATTAGACTCACCCATGGCTACAGATTCACAAAACACCCTCCAACCGTGCTTCCAATAGCTCTGGAGCATGAATTGATAGATTACCACCCTTGCAATCTCCCCAATACCATTAATCAGTCAAGACTAGTCAATTTACTGAATATGAATTTTATTGTGATTTCGTTTGTGTAAGGCGGTGTGGTAAAGGCACTGTAAAAGTTACAAAGATTGCAAAATATGATAGAATATGAGTAGGCTAAAAAAAAGAGAGCTACAGAATGTATTTTTAAATGAATGCATGCTGAACTAGACTAAGTACTACGACTATGTTTATTTTTCAACATTGCAAAAGCACTGAAATATTGTGGAGGTGGTATTTGGGAATAGACTTGGAAGGAACTTCATGGAGGAGGTGGAATTTATTCTGGGCCTTAAATAACGACAGAATACTATAGATGAAGATCAGGGGAAGCACACATAATGACCGATTCACAAGGACGTTTTGTAGACATACTGAAAAACAAACCCTTGGGGAGTGGAGCTTGCCAACAGAGGGAAAAGCCCGAGGGTCAGGGTGGGCACCGGACTCTCAAGTTCCCATATAGAGATTTCAGTACCAATGATATCAGGAAGCACAGGGCAATGGGCTTGTAAATGTAGCAGCAGCAAGAGGTTTCACATTGTAGTCAGGGACCCCAAACTGTCTGTCCTATTACTGAATGGGTTCATTCATCTTTTTGGTATGCATGATACTTCACTAGTCCTTACTCTTGCCCACTGACCATCTGAATGGTAGTTTGTGCGCACCTACATGCGCATGTGTGAGTGTAGGTGTGTGTGGATGGATGGGGGACTGAGGCTTTGTCACCCACTGCAGCTTCTTCCGCTTTTCCCTCTTGTGGCACAGAGCTGGCTTCCGCTTTGCTGAAGCTCAACCCCTTCTCACTGTCTCAGCCTCACTGAACTCCAGCTCTTTATTAAGCACCTAGGAAACTTCCTCAACATGAAGATAAAACACTGTGGGGGAGTGACTTGAGTTAGGGCGTGACTGCACTTTCCCGTGGTGGTGGTGGTGGTGGTGGTGGTGGTGGTGGTGGTGGTGGTGGTGGTGGTGGTGGTGGTGGTGGTGGTGGTGGTGGTGGTGGTGATAAGGGCTGGGACTGTTGAAGTCGGCTCTCGCTACTGGTAAAGTGTTGCTGGTAATCGGTAGTGTCAGTCAGGAGATGGGATGTCAGGCTAGACCAGCTTGGCCTTGATCCCCTCTCCTCCTTCCTCAACATGCCCTGCAGGGAAGATATGTTGGGCAAGTAGAAACAGCAAAGACACATGTAGAATGCCCAGATTCTTGTTATTGTCCCATTTGAATCTCACCCCTGGAAGCCCTAAGGATCTTTTCTCAGCAAACATGTGATGGAACTGTCACCTCCCCCTGTCCAGTTGCTGGAGGTATATAGGTTCTGTAGCTACTGATGCTACTTAGATTGGGAGGTATGGGAAATATCAGAAAAGAGGAAACTTTAATAAATGTAGGGTTTCAGTAACTGTGATTCTTAGCTAAGACCTGGTGCCTGACATAAAAAGGTGGAAAGCTGTCAGGATTCTCTGATATTGGATATTTAGAGCTCAGTGAGATCATCACTAGAGATCACTTTGAAGCTGATGTGACCTTGCTTGACTTTGGCAGTGGGACCACCCTTCTTACGCAGGTACAGAGATTTCAGATCACGGCAGTCACTGGGGTCAGCGTCAAGAGTAACCTGCCCCAGGAACTGATCACAGAATTTTCTGCTGTTCCAGACCTGAAGAGACAAATCAAGAAAATGAGGAACAACAACCACCCATGAGATTGATGCATCTAGTGGCAATCTACCTAGCATGTACATCAAGAGACATTCTTATCTTTTCTTGATAGCCATTTGATTGAGAAGATAATGTCCCCAGCAATATAGATGAAAGTAGACCAAAGGATCATCTTTTATTTGTGGATTTGTTACATGAAGAGAGCTAATCAGACGTATTCTCAGAAATACTGCCAGTCTAAAGTTATCCACACTGATCTAGCAACACAGGAGTTAGCAGAACTGGCAAATACTTCTGTTCATGGAACTTTATAGCACAAGTGTTCACAAGTGTACTCATGAGACTATGGTCATGAGCCTATGGGAAATTAAGTCAAGCGTTTTAAGGTAAAGATGAATAATGATGTTGATGTTTTGCTAAATGAGAAGCGTTCTGAGTATAAACTAAATACATAACAAAGAGCGTTTGCTCTGCACCATAAAAGTACAAGGTACTTGGGAGAACATAATATGTGGTAAAGAACATAAATTCCCCAAGATATCTTGTTTAGTCTTACCTGGATGATAATAGGAATGTCAGTGGTCCTTCTGTAGAAAATGGCCTGTGTGTCAAAAATGGCATGCACAGTATTCTTCTGGACAGGAGAACGGACTTCTTCCTTTCCACACTTGATGACCAGGTACGGATTTACAGCTGGAACAAAGTGGCATTTGTTTTTTTAACAGAGTGATTAATGTTTCCTTCCTAGAGGGGAAAGAAGCTATAACTTTACAAAATCAAATCTGGCAATTTCCACATAACTGGAGCACGACAATGATGTAGAATGCAAGAATGTTTGTTAGCTCTTCCCTTTCCTTTCCCATATATAATATAGGGATAGAAAAGTTACTGCTATGTAGACATTTCCCAGCAATGTTCACGTCCCATTCTCTACCAGAGCTGAAATCTCTGGAGTAAAAATACCAATGGAGATAACAGTTGTTGATAATGTTTTCTACTGATATATGCAGTAACTGAGACAGCAGTTTGCTTTCTTGCACACCCCTGCTAGTCTTACTTTCATTGGCGTACTTCTTCTCCAGTCCCTCAGCACTGTGAACAGTGATCTGGGTAACCACCTTTGGGTAGCCACGTGCCAGGTTCCAGCAAGACATCTTTGGCATGTCCAGTGTCAGCTCCCTAGAACATAAAAACCAGGATGAACTTGACCTGCCTAAACAAACTTCATTGTAGAATCATGTAAGAAGCTGATTGATATATCCTATTCCTTCACAGGCATGGCTCATATTTCTATGAGGGTGTTTTTCTCTTTTCTCTTCTTTTTTGTAGACCTGCCATTTAATGATACAAGAGGGTACAGCTGGAGAAAAGTGTAGTTTAAGCTACCCAGCACTGAGAATAAGATAGAGGAGCCCAGCGACTCAAAAACTATAGAATCAACCAGAGAGATGAAGATAAAATCCAAGTGACAGAGCTCAAGTGGCAGACCCCTCCCCTTAAATCCCAGCTGAGAACTCTAAATCTCAGATCTGCACTGGAGAATTTTCCACAACTCTACTCTGAGAAATATTTTGGTCACTTTTATTTCAATTAGTGAGGTCAAATTTGAGAATATTGTCTCTTCGACTGTATGCATAGAGGAAAATGGGTGAAAGGGTTAGACTCAGAGGAAAAGAGAGCAAGGGTTTGCTGAGCATCGCAATAAAACTGAACCTGAGCTGGACAGGCACTTCAGAGAAGATTCTCAGCAGAAACTCGCTGGTGCGGCCATGCTGGAACATGGTTGGGACAAGCACATAGTTGCCCTTCTTCAGATACTTGCTCAGAAACACAGTACGGGTGTCGATATAGGTTGAAGTCCCAGCACGCTCCTGAATGTACAGGTGGTGAAGGCGGAACCTGCGGTTCATCTCCACCTAGAAGCAAACCGAGATTTCCATTCTGTTAAAATCAGAGCTTTTCTGTTAGAATGTCCTATTTCTGTTGTCTTCCTTATCCCTTCCTAATTTTCCTAACTCTAACCCTTCCTAATGTAACCTCTGAATGCTCTTATTTTTTTCTGCTCTAAATGCTGTTCTTACCTTGAAGAGCTCAAAGCCAATGATGTAGTTGTCAGGTCTTCCCATTCGGCGGTAAGTGCGTAGGTCTTTCTGCTGCAGCGACATTATGACCTTATGACCATCCTCGGGCACAGTAAAGATGTACTGAGGGAAATTCATCAAAGAGATGAATTAGTACTCCAATTTAAGATAGTCAAATCTAAATTTCAGGGAATAAAAATCTATAATGGGAAACAGAGTCTCGGGGTCATTTCTGAGCTTTACTATTGACCATACAATGATTGATATTACAGAAAATTAATTCACTGCTAAGTAAAGATCATTATACTTGCTTCTCACTTTGACATCTGGCTTGTACTGAGAGGCAACTCCATTTTTAGGTCTTTGGTGTGAAAGAGGGAAAGTTTTAATATGTATGTTCCTTAAAAGTTAATCATTTTGTCTTATTATAACCCTGTGTTTAAAGCTATATAGAGAAACATTTCAAAATTCATAAAGACAGAAAGCATTCATAATCCACTCAACCAGGTTTTGCCATATAGCCCTGGGTAGACTTATAAAGCCAATCCAGACATATGAGCAACCAAGATAAGGGCCTCAAAGATCAATCTTGTGTACGGAGAAGCCATTCCCCCGTATGGTATAGTTGCTTAGTACCTGGACCTTGTATAGGGTTCTAAGTGAGAGTGATGTTGAGAAGGGGTACCAATTATAAAGTTTCTGTAGGGACCATTAAGGTGGAAAGGGCAAAGAAAATTATGAGTTAAGGAAACCAGTTTTCCAAGCCTCAGTGTTCTCCAAACTGCCTGCGCAATAAGATCTGTAGGAAGAAGAGACACGTCCATGTGCAATGAGGCCGTAGCACAGCCAGAGTGACATCTGCTGTGCCTTAGCCCATCTTCATACGGGCCATTATAAATTCAAGCTTGGGATGCTTGTGGGAGTTTGCTGTTGTTTTCTTGAGATATACCTGGTCTGACCACTTATAATGTCACTGATAATAGGATGGCGGTGGTAGACAGCTGGAAGGAGAAACTGGCAGGGCAGTGATTTCAATCATGAGAAATGAAGTACCTCATTCTCAAAAGGAAAAAGCAAGTTATAGTAATGGGTTGCAGAAGTATGACCTATATGAAAAGAGCTAACAGTATGATGTGTGTGTGAGTCAGGTGAACAATTAAACAGTAAAGACAAAGGAGGGGGAACTGAGACCATATATAGAAGCAGATCTCTCTGCTGTGTGTGACCATCACCAGGAAGCGACAGTTACGAGCTGTAACATTCAGAACAGGAGGAGGCAGCTGGAGAACCTAACTTAGGTTAGAAAATGTTGCCAAGGCAAGTCTCCCTAAAGAAACCTGGTCTTCTGGGTCATATGAGCATCTGAGTCAATCCCTAAGGGTTGTGGTTGAAGAATATTACACAGTAGATTTGAAGACCTGATGCTAAATGAATACTCTAGGGAGGACCAAAGCAAGATCTGGATTCTTACTGACTATCCCGGTAGCTTGGAGGCAATGGAAAATAATTGACTCTAACCTGAGGATTCTGCAGGAAGGTATCATGGTTGTTATAACAACCTCCTGATCGGTTCATCAGAGGGTCATCATCCACAGTCCAACATCCCACCACTGATTCCAGTTCCTTGCGGCCAAAAATAGGGTTGTTCACGTTGCGACAGACATTCAGTTTCTGAAAGTTGTGGCAAAAATCTTCCAGACTCATCCTAAATGAGAAGGAAGAGGGAAAGAAATGAAGATTGGTCTTAGTATGTATTTCTAAAAAGAAAACCAAATTCCTTATGGCAGAAAGACTTCTCACCAAAACTCTCCATCATCAGACATGACAAGCCCCAGGTTCTTGCGATCTGTTACAGTCAGTTGCTGCCACTCTTCAGAACTGAAAGCAAATAAATTATAAACAGATAAGTTGTTATGGTTGACAGGATGTCAAAAGATGCCAGATACATGATGACTAGGTCTGCTTTATTTTATCCTGCCTGGGTTGCGGACCCCATGCCTGACTGGAGCTCAGAGATGTCTCTGTTATTTGACAGCCTCCTAGCAATCTAGAGGGATAGGTTTGGGAGAGCTACAAATTTGGAGGTGTAGGGATAAAAGTGAAATGTCTCTCACATTTCACTCCAGGGGCCACTCCATTCTTGTCTTCCCAACGGGTTTCTCAGGCGAACCATATACAGCTTCTCAGCACTAAAGACTTCCACGAGTCTTTCTCCAAGGCGAAGCTTGCGAATATCAGTCATGGTGTAGGTATGGCCCTTCAGTAGTCCCCAGTCTGTTTCAACTTCTTGTTCTTCCTGGCTGGGAGACTGGTAGCAAAGAAAGATACATAAGGATTTAGGAGTTGGGGAGACCCAAGTCCTGGACCCCCTTTTCCCTTTGTTGCTTCATCCCAACATAACTGAATCAAGTTCTCCCTATGCAGATGGAAATTTGACCCTGATATCTAATCTATCACAAAGGTAAGTGAAAGAGAAAAAATAAAGTAGTATAAGAAGTTATTTTAAAAGTTCAAATTCCAAATAATCACTGTCTTACATTAATATGAACTGTGATTTAAAAATATGGTAGGGCAGATTCATTCTTTGAGGGAACAGCTAGAACTTAAATATCCAGGAGCCAAGATAAGAGTAATAATTTACCAGAAGCTATTTACACCAACTTGGATGGTGCCTTGGCACTCAGTGGAATGTCTAACGTTCATAAGGACAAAATAAATTAATGTACCTCAATGTCCAAGCCAGTACTTCATACCTATGTTAGCCTTCTGAGTTTCACTAATGGCTCTTTTTGTGAATCTCTGGGTTAAGAACAATGTTCTTTGTTAATTTTTTTTTTTTTTGGCCAGGAGAGTTTTGGGTGAACACAAACCTCAATGGAGCAGCAAATTAGGCCTCCTTTGGTGAATGTTTTGTACAGTTCTCCGAACAGCTTGTACTTCTCCTCCACAAGATCAGTATATCTTCCTTTCTGCATGTCAATGATTTCAGCCAATGTGCCCGTGAAGTCCATGATGATATCAGTAATGGTCAAACCATCCAAGGCCTCATAACAGCCTAGCAGTCTGGAAGCAAGCATGCAGCGTTATCTTGGTGAAATTATTTATCCAGGTCAAGGACATCATGTTCCCAAGAATTAAAACTATCACTGCTCAGCTTTTACCAGCTGGCTTTTCTCTGGATATGAAGTGGAAAATACTTTAAGATTACAATTAAAACTCTGGGGGCTTAGGCAATGTTGATAAATGTTAGTGCACGTAGAAACTTCTTTCTACGAGAAGATGTCAGGCAAGGTTAAAAAAAAAGATAAGAGAACTCCTTTTGGACTTCAGATTAACAACCTGAAAGGTTACCTAGCTGCCCTAGAATTTAACAGAAGAGCAGTTGATCCTCTGATATCCATGAGTCATAATAGGCAGACCCAGGGCTAAAGAAATCTTACTTAGATGCAGCCCAATTTTAACTCTGGGATTGAGTGGGAGGGAATGCATTTCCAAAGACAAATATGATCCTTCTTCATGTATCATGATCACAGACTAATCAAGCCCCTCCTTACTTTGCATAAGCTTTTTCCAGTAGAGCATTCCAAAACTCATTCATGGAGGTGGAGAATGAGAAGACCAGATCTCCGTTGATGGTCGGCAGCAAGTCATCAATCACCACCTCAGTCCATTCTCCAAAATGCCAGAAACGGAAGCGGAATATTCCAGCATATTTTTCTGGCTTGCGAGGATCCCATTCCTGTTCCTTATGGTTGGGAATTGTCTGGAAAGGTAAGAACATTTAGTCAAGTATGATTTGCAAGATTATATCAAGATATAGAGGTATTAGTGAAATCCTAGGCAAACCATATAGCAAATGGAAACTTTCCAAAGCAATTCTTCTACAACTTCCGTTTCCACAGGTCAGTTTTACTGTGCGTGAGATTACGATACCTGCCATTCTTGCTCTGCATACAGAGAATACTGGAGAGACAGTTGGAGGGGTCTGCATCAATAATAAATAAGATAGATGATAGACTATCTGCATAGACGTATGATCAAATGTTTGAACATGTGAACAAAGCATTGAAAAGTAATATCAGATCAGAGACATGGTTCACTGATTGAGAGCATTTACTTCATAATCACTAGTCCTGAAATTGGGATTCCAGCATCTAAGTGTCCCTACAAATGCTTGTGAGCCCAGTTCCTCAGAGGGGAGAGACAGGAGGATTGGGGGGGACATTATGGTTTTTACATTAGAGAAGAAAGCGTGAATTCTGGCTTCAGGAATAGTGAGTAGATCGAGAGCGCAAGAGGACGATACTAAATGCCCTCTTCTAGCCACTGTGGGTACACATGGGAGTTCACCTTTCCATATGCACACATGCACATACATACTCATGCAGGAAAATAAGCAATAAAAGCAACAAAAGTAAAAATTAAAACCAATAAAAACATAATGCTTATTCTGGTTTGTCATGTCTAGAGTTTCATATAGACTTTACACAATATGGATTTTAGTTATGTCAACAATAAAAATACATTTTTGTTGTAACAATAAAAACAATTCTATTGTAACACTTTCACATAAATATTTAAAATTTGTTTTTATTAGGAAAATGCTTATTATACCAAATAAAATATTATTTGTTGTTTTGAATTTTATCAGAATATTAGAGAATTTTTGCGCTATTAATAATTTATTAGGCCCCTTTCAATGATCCGTTTTTGTATTTCTCACCTTTTCTGTTATGCATCTATGTGTTAATGACTTCCTGGCTCCTACTTACTCCAGAGCAAATTGGTACAAACACTACAATTTGAAGGAATATTTAGTCAAAGCATTACAAATGGCAAGAAAAGAGCAGCGAATATATGTGACAAAGCAAGGCCAGCAAAATGTCAGTGTTAGAAGAGAGTTGGTTTAGATTTTCACTGTAAAATTCGGCTTGTCTATATTTGTGAAAATTCTTATTAGAATAAATTAGTCACCCTGATACTTCTGGCTTCTTCAAAAAGTTAGAAGCTGATTTTCTGTCAGGTTATTCAAGAAGAAAGTGGAAATAGACTAAGAGCACAAAGAAAAGATGATACCTTTGTCCAGTGTGACTCCTGAACAGCCAAACAGGAAAATGCAGGGATCATTGACTTGTTCCCCAGTCTTCCCTGGATCAGCTGGTGGTTGCTGATGTTGCCCACAATCAGATGGGGGTCATCAGAAATGTCCTGGGGATACAGAAATTTGTTATGCAGAAGTCTGGGAGGAGGTTTCTAAGTGTCACTAGAAGCTAAGCTAAGCAGAATAGCTTATAGAGGAAATAGGGTTAAGTGTGACTAGGACTTTTATAGGTGGGATAAAGGGAAGGTTAGAAAGATTTGTGGTAAAGCACAAAGCCGTGGATAGTGTATACACAGAAAAATGGCCATGTGGTGAATAGCTGAAGAAATGGGATGAGAGAAAATGGCCTATGCTGCTGGAAGGCCTTTGTCATTGCCTTTGGAGGCATTTGTACCACAGCAGTGAAGAGAAGAACTAAGAATTAGCACATTGCATTTTCATGTCATTTTTGTCAGGATGAGATTTTCCCTGAAGTGCCTGTCCTTGGAAGGGCAATTACCTTTAAGAGACAAGGTCTGACAGAGGTGATCACTAATGCATCTCCCTCTCTAGGAAAAATGAGTTAGGAGACCATATAGGAAGTCTTTTTCTAACACAAAGCAAAACCAACAGCAGTTTCCATGACAACCCGCTTTCCCAACCCCCACCTTTGTATGAATATAAAGGATAGCAGCATTAACAGCAGGTGTTAATAAGCCATTCACAGGATTACTTCAGCAGGCACTGTCTGTCTCCATGGTGTATTTTCCAAAAGTATCTGGCCAGAAAGGGGGAGCAGTATTTGTTAGGGGAATACATGTGTGTTTTTACTTCAAAATATCATAAGCTGGGTCATTCCCATTGTGAGTTGGAAAGATGAAAGCCAAATAATGTAACTGCAAAAGAAAAATGTGAGCAAAGCAAAATGGAGTTATTTTCAAAGTATGATCAGTGCCTAGAAAGAAAGAATTTCCAAAGTTCATCTAGCGATGGAAGGGATACTGTAGTGAGTGGTTGGATACTTGAGATGACTACTGATTGGTCACTGAACAAGGGAGAAACATTGAGGCACTGCAGATAGAGCGACAGGCATGAGAAAAGGCATAGCACTATACATGACATTATATAATTGCAGGCATGATGTGGTTCAGAGCATCGGCACTTGCAGAATTCAAAGCCATCAAATCTCAATTAAGTCTTGATAAATGGAAAGTTTCATAAAAGGGGCTGTTGGCCCATAAGATGACATTCTGCATACCCTGCTGAAATAAATCCCAGCTGCAAATGGAAAGAAAATCTAGATCCACATCCTTTTAAATTATTAAATAGAAACAGTTATTTTTTCTGGTGTATAATGTCTATTTTTTTAATGGATATAATTCTCCTTGATGAAGGGTCTGGTGTACAGAATGAAGCATTCCAAATAGCTGTTAAAAGCCAAAATAGTTCTGGAAAGAAATAGACATTCTGGGCAGGGATATGTCCAAACTGAAGATTAATTGGGCATCAACCTGCCAAAAGGAAAGAATTAGGTGGGTTGTTAGCTTTGCATTTTCTGGCCCTTTTTGTTGTTGTTGTTGTTGTTTAAGATGAACGTCTGGTGCCTTATCACCACCTTTTATCTTAGGAGACTACTTCTATTTTATAAAATAGTTTATGGGATGTCATCTGCTTTTTCTTTTCATTTTCTTAGCACACAGAACAAGTGTACTAGATGAGTTAGGTCTTGATGTGTCTTCTCTTCTTTGCTTCCTCTGTTTTTCTAAGATGAAATTAATAAGCACCATCATTCTTCCCTTGGGTAGACACTGGCACTTTATTTGGAGCAAAATGTAAAGCTATGCAATAATTTCTTGGATACATATGAGACATAGGATTGTTTCCTGGCATAGAAAGTAGTCAAGGGAGAATTGATAGGTGGCAAAATGTGTTTTTATATATTTTAAGGCAAATTAGTTGCTGGTTTCAACTGGGGGTTGAAGTTATTTTGCAATCTGCTTAATTTAGATAAGCAGGAGTCTACACCCAGTCAACAATACTTTTAATGTGTGAACTCTTACTCACAAAAGGGAGCAAAAAGACACATAAACAGATTCAAAATGAGGAACTGAGTGATTAGTATCCTCTTTGTGTGAATTGGATATAGTTATTATTAATAGCATGTTAATATTATTACAGCCTTATTTTACTTCAAAATTTCATATAGAATACCTAACAGTGGGTTTTAAAATGTAATAGCAGCCCAAGGAACTAACTGGGAACCTCATCTTGGGCACTAGGGAGCCCCTCTAGGGTCAAGTCGCTTGCCCACCCTAAAGTGGCTCCCTTAACTAAGAATTGTGGTTCCGTGCTCCCCTATCCACCTTTCCTTTATCCCAATTCTCCCGTTTCCCAGGTCCCCCCTCCTTCCCTTCTACCTTTTCTCTCCCCATCTCCCCTTACCCCCATCCCACCCCCCCCCCAAGATCCCATTTTCTCCCCGGAAATTTGGTCTACTTCCCTTAGCGAAGAGGACAACTATATGTTTTTCCTTCGGTTCACCTTCTTCCTTGGGCAGCTGAGGATTGGGAACCTGAAATGACCCTATCCTAGAGCAATACTGACGAATATCTTGCATATCATCATAGAATCTTCATCTGGTGATGGATAGAGATCGAGACAGTGACCCACACTGGAGCACTGGACTGAGCTCCCAAGGTCCCAGGGAGGAGCAGAAGGAGGGAGAACATGAGCAAAGAATTCGGGACCACGAGGCGTGCATCCACCCACTGAGACAGAGGAGCTGATCTACGGGGAGCTCACCAAGGCCAGCTGGACTGTGACCGAAAAAGCATGGGATAAAACCGGACTCTCTGAACATGGCGAACAATGAGGGCTGATGAGACACCAAGGACAATGGCAGGGGGTTTTGATCCTACTTAATGTGCTGGCTTTGTGGGAGCCTAGCCAGTTTGGATGTTCACCTTCCTAGATATGGACGGAGAGGACCTAGGACTTAACACAGGGCAGGGAACCCGGACTGCTCTGTGGACTGGAGAGGGAGGGGGAGAGGAGTGGGGGAGGGGGAGAAGGGTGGGAGGAGGGGGAGAAGGGTGGGAGGAGGGGGAGAAGGGTGGGAGGAGGGGAAGGGAAATGGGAGGCTGGGAGGAGGTGGAAACTTGTTTTTTGTTTATGTTTTTTTTTCTTCTTTTCGCAATTAAAAAAAATCAAAATTAAAAAAAATGTAATAGCAGTCATGAAATATCAAAAACATGAGAAATATTAAAGACTATCTAGTCACTTCTTATTTTACTGATGAAGAAAAGAGGTCATCAGATAAGGGCGGCCACTCAAGTCTCTGGTTAATTAATCAGTCATGAGGACATCTAGGTTTAAAGCCTTTGATTCTTCATAAAGGTATAATATTAGCCAGGAGGTGCTGGTGCACGCCTTTAATCCCAGCACTCGGGAGGCAGAGGCAGGCGGATCTCTGTGAGTTTGAGGCCAGCCTGGTCTACAAGAGCTAGTTCCAGGACAAGCACCAAAGCTACAGAGAAACCTTGTCTCAAAATAAAAAAAAACAATAAAATGAAATAAAATAAAATAAATGTATAATACTAAAGAAGGGACCCCAAGACTTTGGCTGACCCATTCCTTTATTTTTAAGCTTATCAATGGTCCTGTGTAAGGTAATAATGTTGCAGTTTCCCCATAGATATCCAATCCAGTACTGTATACTCTTAGCTCGACATTCCATTTTTCTGCAAGAGTTTCTCAGCTCCTTTTTTTTTTTAAATATCGCCAATAGGCCTTGATTTCCAGAAGCCAAGTGACTGAGTATAAATCAGTCTTGCATGACATGTTAGTACCATGATGTGGAAAACAGAAAATAATTCTTTCTAAAACCATATCTTCTACCTCGTATGTGAAACATTAAAAGACTACAAAACAGCCAAGGAGGTAGAAAGGATAAGGAGAATGAGCCAATACAAATCTGGCAGCTTTAAGAACTTTTCAGAAATAACTGAAAAATAATGAAATGGCTCTTAAGAGACTTTTTACTGTAGTTAGGCATACATTGCATATCTTTTGTTGGAGTTAAAGAAGGAAGGCTGTTGATAATTTTCTGTAACTCCAAGCTGAGATGCAGAGCATAGATAGAACATTTCAGCCTGAGCTATGCTGACGTGGTAAAAGTGGGGTTCAGGAAGAGGCCACAGCTCACATAGCCATACTGTCTGGGTGGCTTGAGAGAAGTGAGGAGATGGAAGAGATGCTGTGTGTTCCTAATGGCTCCAGATGTGCTGGCACAGTTGAAATGATTCTTGAACTGTGCTGTTTGGCAAAGCAAAATTATTTCTTAGGTAGAGAATACATAATACCAAGAAATTGAACACAAGAAAAGCTGGAGTATTCCCCAAATACTATCACCCCAAGATAAATGTTCTGTAAAGAAGGCGTCTTTTCTAGGAAATATATTATCTTGGCTGAACACCGAGGAATGTCTCACTTTTTCTCGCCTCATCCCTATTCCCAGAAACCTCTGGTGGGATGGGAATTACAATGAGATCTGTAGCCCCACATAGATCACTCTATTTGGAACAATTAAACGCAGACCTTTAGCAATTATTTATGCAAGTAACTTTTGATGGCAGCAAGCATTGAGATTCAGAGTAAACCACAAGGAACTACAGTGCAATAAAATATTCCTTATATAACCAGCGTCCAGAAAATTGGAAGAAATTTCAAAAGCACTGTGTGTCCAGCTTGGAGAGCAGATAGGGATAAGGTCAGCCGTTCCATTGGTACTACATGATTAACTATTTCCAAAAGAATTAGAGGCTACCTGGTATAAAATATCCATTCAGGACGGGAGGGCTATGTAAGCTAACCCAAGTAGGCATTATGATATCCTTAGAAAACTGAACCATCTTTAGATGGGGAGTTTATAGGTAGATCTGGGCTCATAGACCAATGTTCTCTCAAGGATCTAACTTCACTTGCTGAAAATTTTTATTCCTATGTGAACATTTTATCACCATTACAGCATTCTCTTCCTTCAAAGGAGAACTCAGTAAGGAGCCTAGGAATAAATGCTCAACTTCAATATCCAGTTTAAACAACCAAATCATTACACAATATGCTAAGA